CATAAATGCATCCAATATCATTCATGTAAAGTTAAAAGTTGACTAAAAGTTCGGTTTTCTAAAATACGCTATCTAAAACAGGCTAGGAATAAAATGGGCTAATGCTCTGAAGAAAAATATTTTGTTGCCGACAATGAGCACCTGAAGTGACCAACTATAATAGTTAAAGAAAATACCCAAAATCCATAACTTTCATGTTTATCTTTCATTCCACAGGTATGAATGAGAAAAAAGAGATACATTTTGCTGACACAACCATGTGCTATTTAGTTCCTTCTTCGTTTTTAGGTTTTAAATATACAAACTAAAAATTATTTGGTTGAATAACTGTAGCTGCACAGACAAATAGCGAGGAAGAAAAGAAATTTAAAAAGAGTGTATTTGATGTTATTATTGTTTAAGCTGGGTATAAACTGGGCAAAGTCCAAATATGCTAAAGCATGGTAAGTATTAACTAGCAGATACATGTTGCTCAAAGATATATTTTTACAAGCTCAAAAACATCGATTTTGCTGATCGCTGAGAACATTCAGAAGAAAAAGAGAAGAAAGAAAGAGCAAACAGTAAAGAAGTTAACTATTTGTTTCTAGGAATTAAGAGCACAGCCAAAATGACTTCTCAACGGTCAAATACCAACATAAGTATATATAGTTCTCTTTAATTGCATATGCCAGTTGCAATATGCTACTATTTTAATCATGTCTTTGCATCCAATATTCAGAAGATATTCTGCTGATTGAGATTCCCACTTCACATACCTTGACAGTGCAAATGAAGAATTGGCTTCCATTGGTATTAGGGCCTGCATTAGCCATGCTAACAACTCCAGGTCCAGTATGAGTCACTGCAGTTATTTGATATTTTCGTCACAAAGAACATTCTACACAATTGAACCAAGGGAACCCGTAGGCCTAGCCACAAAAAGGAGCTTCANATTATTTGATATTTTCATCAAAAAGAACATTCTACACAATTGAACCAAGGGAACCCATAGGCCTAGCCGCAAGGAGCTTGAAACAAAATTTTGAAGAGAAAAGTCACTTACACTTGAAGTTTTCATCCTTAAAGGTACGACCATATATGCTTTTACCACCGGTTCCCTGCGAATAAAACATCCCATGTATGGGGAAAAGATTACAATGTGTGGACATGGCAACTGAAAATTTTCCAAATTTGAAACTGAAAACACTAGAACTGTTCAATCTAACTAATATATGCATATTAAAAGTTAGAAGAGTAAGAAGTTCAAGTTGCATGGCATAACATATTCAACTGAACAAAACCATCAAATATGCCAGAAGTACATATTCCACTGAGCATCTTCACGCACTCTTTCATGCAGTTAACTACTGATCAAAGAAAGTCTTCCTTTCCAGAAAACATAGAAGAAGCAAAAAGTTGATATCAGCAAGTTCATTACTTCATTAAAAAAACGTTTACATCCTGAAGATTGATCATCTCAGAATACAAATATCTTATGAAGTAACCGGTAAATCTCACAAATACAGAACTGAAACAAATTGTAACCCTTTTGGTCTCTGATTTTCCATGGTGTAAATTGGAGCCATTGCAGATCCAAAAGACAGAAAAGGATAAACCATCAGTCAGAAAAAAAGATACCACCGGCCAAGGAAATCAAATTCAAGGTTTAGCATTTCTCCCATTTAAAATCTTGTTCAGATAGAAACAAGGAAAATAAAAGGCTAAATAATAAGCATCCCAAAACATACTTCATTCAATTGTACTACTGAAAACAATATGAACTGGGTGAAGGATGTGTTTTGAGTCCAGAAGAATGCCAATTAGTGGAACAAATAGAAAAAGAGCAAACCAAGTATTGAGACACCTACATTTCCTTTATCGAAATCACCTCCTTGAATCATGAAATCTTTAATAACACGATGAAATGCAGAATCCTTGTAGCCAAAGCCCTTCTCACCTGATTGAAAGAAATCAGTACAAACTATAAGCAAACTGTAAATAATAGACAGTAAGTTAGGCACGAAACTCAAGCAATAAGGCAGAAGATGATAATGATAAAGTAGTAGCAAGAGTAGTAGTGATTATAACATCAGCGACAATACTAATAACATTAAATTTACTAAAGAACCTGTGCAGAGTGCACGGAAATTTTCTGCTGTTTGTGGCACATCATCACCATATAATCCAATTACAATTCGCCCAGCAAGCTTTCCAACAGGATTCCCAATGCTAATATCAAAATAAACTTTGTGTGTCACTTTGGATTGCACCTCGGCCGCCTGGATTTCCATAAATACACTCAGACCAATTTATAAACTTCAACTAAGTAATAAACAAATTACGGAACACAGTCCCACAAATGAAAACATAACACAATGTTTAATGAAAACTGAACCACAACCACTTTCTACATGTATAAAGGCTCAATCCACTGCCAGAATTCACTTTGTTACTTAACAAAAGAAAACATCTCATGTTCCAATTTATATGACACTCTTTTCATTTTCGGACATATTTGACATCATTTCATTTTCTATACTAATATTTTAACAAGTTTCAAGAATTAAAATTCACTAACTGTTTGAATTTAAACTTTGATGTGATATTTTCTTTATCAAACTGGAAGGCATTTGTTTGAGTTTCTTAAAGAAATTTATGTAAAAGAGTGTTTCAAGAAATTGTTTCTGAAGAAGTTGTTTTTCTGGTATTTTTAAAGAAAGTCCTTGTTTCACTCACGAATACTCATAAAAACTACAATTTCTTTTAACCCAACTGTTTAAAAAAAGAACTCCAAACTTGTTTAAATGGCTCGTGTATTTTCTTCTACTATCACTTGTCATTAGTATATTATACAGATATAAGTCCAATTTAACATCTTAAAATCCATCTTCAATCAATTATTGTCATATAAAATAAGACGGCATAGCAACACGCTGCACCACATGCCGACTATGGCCTATGTATTCATCTACTAACTATTTTTACAGATGTTAAGCTCTTGAACTTAACCTGAAAGGCTATTCCTCACAGAAACCCTATATAGCATATTTCCTAAGTCCATATTTGGCATATTGAATTTTGAAGAAAAAAAGAAAAAACATACTCTCTCCTTCTCAATTTGTATTCTCAATTTATGTGATGCACTTTTCTTTTTAGTCTATCCTAAAAAGAACAATACCTTTCTAAATTTAGGGAAAAAATAACTTTAAAATTCACATTTTAACCTTAGTGAGATAATTTATAAACACACAAATGTTTATGACTTATTTTAAACCATAAGTTTCAAAAGTCATTATTTTTTTGTGCTCAATCAAACATCATTACATCAATTAGGACGGAGGGAGTAAACAATAAAACAACTCATAAATTAGCTCGCGAGCAAGCACAGACCTGCACTGCGGCTTGAATGGAGCCGGATAAAGCGCTGGTTTTTTTGTGAACCAAACGGTTGGATGAAGTAGCAAGGCGCAACGAGCCAGAAAAGAAACTTGACGATGAGAATGAAGATTTCACCAACTTAGGAGAAGCATATGTAGGGTTCACAGCAGCTCGAGGAGCTGAGAGTGAGCCTAAATTCGACTGTGAAAAGGAGAAATTTAAGTCAGCTAAAAAAGAAGACAACAACAACAACAACAACAAAAATTACATAAACAACAGTCTCATCTGTATGAAATCTTTTAATACCCATTCCGCTCTAATTGGTACGATACGCAATAATTTTGTGTTATGAAGACAAATTAGAAGCTGAACTGAAAGACGAAGTTAAAAAATGTACTACAGAAGAATAGTAGAGAGTTTTGAGAGGTTAAGAAAAGCTCACCACTGTAGCAAATGTAGCTGCCATTGTTGCCGATTTCTTTTATTTTCTATACGAAGAATTAACTGTAATTATAGAGATAGAGAGAAAAGGGGAGTGGTTGGTGAAAAGATGGGGAGGGAGGGGCGGAGATGACGAGCCTCTATCCTTTTGTATATACCGATTTAGGTAAAAGATATTTTCGACGATGACAAATGACAATACTCCCCCAATGGCTAGCCTGTGAATCATTTTTTACCTTTCCCTTTTATTTTTCATATCTGTTTTGTATTTAAAAAACTTTCACTTCATACATAACTCTGGTAAAATTTGGAAGGAATAATTATTACTCCACTTTTAATAATTTGTGAAATATTTTCACAAAAGAAAATTACACATGTTCACTTGCAGTACTTTTTAGTACTTATTCCGTTTCAATCTAGCTGAGTTAGTTTGAGTCGGCATGCAGTTTAAGAAGAAAAAAAAAAAATTTTGAAACTTATGGTCTTAAATATTTAAGGGGTAATTTGTGGGGCCATTTAATTTGTGTGATAATAAAAGTTTCTCATTAAGAGTAAAATGGTAAAATGAAGAGTTTAAAATTGAATTATTTTCAATTGTAGAAATGTGTCATTTTTTTTGAACGGACCAATAAAGAAAGTGTGTCATCTAAATTGTAACGAAAAGAGTAACATAATAAGGGTAGTAGAAATAATTTTTCTTAGCTCAATATCTAACACTTAACATACTTGTAATATGTCATTTATCTTCTTTTTTTAAAGTTATTACTTTATTAGTATAATAATTAATGAGTGCTTGTAAATTATTATTATTTTTAAAGTAATCATCAGCATTGCAATTAAGCTATTATGTATAAAAGCTAAAGGAAATTATCTACATCTTTCTAGATTATTAATTTTCTTCCTACAAAAAATCACTTGCAATTTTTTGGGTATTACCAAATCTGATTTGTGAAAATTACCTAACAAATTAACAATTACATCGTTTAACAATTATAAATCCCAAAAGAAAAATAAAAGAAAGGTTACAAAGCGAAAAATGGAAAAAATGGCGTCGCCCGGACTCGAACCGGAGACCTTCAGTGTGTTAGACTGACGTGATAACCAACTACACCACGACACCATTACGTTAAAAGAGTCTTATTAGTTTTATATATATTTAAAGTTTATAATTGAGGCAATAATTTCCATGTGGTCTCGGTTAGGATTGAGGAGGAAGCAAGAGAGATGGTAGTAGTAGTAGTAGTGAGAGTGAACTCACTAAAGCCATTGGCATGGACTCCATTTCCTTCTCTAAATAGCTTCAACTGGCCCTGGGTTCTTGTAAGAAAACATTCAAGAGTAGTAAGAGCCTTAACAAGTAGTCAAGTAGCAGCTGATGATCAGAGAGAGCCACAAATAATGAGCAAAGTCATTGACTCACATTTGCATGTCTGGGCATCCCCACAAGAGGTACATATCACAAGATTTTGTACTTAATTTTTATTTGGCAAGATTATGTTGAAGTATGAGGAATTAATTTATGTGTGTTTCTTTGGAATTTGTTAGGCTGCAGAAAACTACCCTTATTTTCCTGGCCAAGTGCCTAGTTTGCCTGGTCATGTCGATTACCTGCTCGAGGTACGCTTTACCGTTTTCACTTTTTGATATTATAGATGCCTCTTTATGTTTTTCTTCTTTTGGGTTTGTTTGGTACGAATGCAATTTTTATCTTTAGATTAGTATTATCCTTGATAAATCATGTTCTAGTGTTAGATTATGTTAAGCTGTTCAAATGTTTTCTCCAAGATTACCAAAGTGAATATTACTTCTACATGGTTTGGTGTGGGGAAAAGTATTTCTTTTAAAATGATTTCCTTGATATATCATTTTCTAGGTTTGGTTATCTTGAATTGTTAAAATGTACTCTTTAAGAAAAATATTTATGGAAAGAGGAAAAATGGCTTCCATATGCTTCCTTTTACAAATATCTAAAGCCTAATGGTTATTTCATATCCAACACTTGGCAATCGGTGTCAACTTTTAATGCTCAAAAATTTCATATAAACACAACCTCATATCCTCACCTTGGATGATCATGATATATCACCTATTTTAGTATCCAACGAAGCATTTGAAAGTGATCCAGAAAATGACTTTCTATGGTAAAACATTTTCGTTGAAAACACTTCCTACATACCAAAGATGCTTCTCCTGTTGTCACTGTTGAGTGTTGATTGTCACAATGCTTTCATTGTACCAACATTTGAAATCCCTTCAAATGTTTATGTTTCGAGCAGTGTATGGAAGAAGCAGGTGTGGATGGAGCACTTATTGTTCAACCCATTAATCACAAGTTTGATCATTCTTATGTTACCAGGTCATTTCATTTCTCTCTTCACTATATTGAATTTCCAGCCTTTTCTTTTATCTATAAGAAGTAGATTTCCAGCTTTCGGTAAATAAAGTTGTTCCTTAAGTAGTACTTGTATAATAAAAGATTTGTCAATTGTCTTCAGTAAGATGCTTGTTTTCAATACATTACTAATAGTAGCAAATGGCTATTCCAAACTAACATCTGTACATGTGTCTTTCAACTATCGAGGATATTGCACCAGATATTATTTACCCTCTTTTTTCTCCTTCCCTTAAACTGCGAGTACAAATGTATTATTTGTGTATTCTTCGGTCTTCTAGTTGGTTAATTATCTTCTGTTGGTAGCAGTCATATTGACTTGAGAGATTGTTTGCCCTATGCATAATTACTTTTATCCAGTGTGCTGAAGAAGTTTCCAACAAAATTCGTCGGCTGTTGCCTCGCAAATCCAGCAGAAGATGGGAGTGGAATAAAGCAGCTTGAAGATCTAGTTTTAAAGGTTTGGTAACTCATATTTATAGATATTAATGTTTTCATTATTTGGGTATTATGTTGACAAAAGATACCACTCATTCTAGGATGGTTATCGTGCTGTTCGCTTTAATCCGTATCTTTGGCCTACTGGTGAAAAGGTATCAATCTTGATGCAGAATCTTTCCTTCCGTAATATTGATCTCAGAGTTTACTTTGCCGTGGACCTTAGTATTGCCAATGAAGTTTATCAGAGTATGAGACATTAAACTCTTTAAAAGATCTGTTATGTTGGAAGAACCTATGAAGTTTTCTTTTAACCATACGTTCCTTCCTTTATGGTTAACTAGATGCAAAGAAAACACATATCCAGCCAGAAATTAGAAGAAAATCAGATACATACCTAATAAGTCTTGTACTTGGTTATGCCTTCAAATTCTAAGAGTGATGTAACGCTGAACTGGGTGGACTTGTTTTTGGTAATTGCCACTAACCATGTTGAGTCTTTTAGCAGATGACAAATGAAATTGGGAAGGCATTATTCTCAAATGCTGGAGAGCTTGGAGTTCCAGTTGGTTTCATGTGTATGAAGGTACTTCAATTACTAGCATTCAACTCTTTGGGAAATGCATAAAAACTCTAAGTAATAATGTTGCCATAAACTGTTTATCCGTGGTACTATTACAAGCTCTTCAGTTGAGGAGAGCATTGTTCAACTCAATGTTTTTCCATGAAGTTCTCATTCTGCGTCTACAATAATGATGCTAACAGTAGACTATGAGATGACTCTAAGATGGATTCTTTCAGGGTCTGGATTTGCATTTGCCAGAAATTGAGGAACTGTGCACAGGATTTCCCTCAACTGTTGTTTTGCTTGATCATCTGGCTTTCTGTAAGCCCCCAAAGTAAGTCATCGCTGAAGTTCTTTTCTGAATTGTCATTCATTGGTGAGAATAGAGGATAACGTTAGGTGATTTGTCTGAATGTCTTGTAGCAATGATGAAGAAAGACCAAGTTTCTCAGAACTGTTAAAGCTTTCAAGATTCCCGCAGGTAACTTTTGCTGAAAGTCTAATTGGATTTCTTTAGTCTACACTTGATGAATATTTAACATCTGCACTTTAACTGCTTCGGATCCTGCAGAAGACAACTAAATCTGTGTAAACAAAAACTAACCAATTAACATGTTCTTTGCTCGCAACATTCTCAAGATTTTAAACCTTTATAGTTGGGCTCAAGGCACTGAAACTCTCTTTTGGACTTTAGCCTGAGACCTGCCTAATCAGTAATCATCCTTTTTTAAGATACATGCACACAACATTTTATTCTCTAGTTCTGATCTTGTCCCAAACCAAAAATAAGAGCTGGAAGATAATTTGACTGTTTTTAGCATTATTCTGAAGTATTATTGACAAATCTCTTCCTAGTGTTAACTGAACTCAAACAGATGGGGAAAGGAAAGTCCCGGACTTTGAAATTCAATTACCAAATTGTTTCCTTCTTAGCCTACTTTAATCAGCAACAGTTGGCTTATGGTCATTAAGTTGATTGATATCTGAGATAGTAATTGCATTGTGCGTGACAGGTATACGTAAAATTCAGTGCTCTGTTCAGAGTGTCAAGAAATCGGTATCCATATGAGGACTTGTCTCAAGTTCTGGCCCAACTAGTCTCCAGTTATGGTGCACACCGTGTCATGTGGGGAAGGTAATAAATCACCGTCATAATTGTTCATTGCACATCAGAACCACCTTAGAACTTCTAAATAGATTGCTAAATGTTATCGGGTGTATCTGAATCCGAATCTATTTACATGCTACAGTGACTTTCCCTACGTTGTTCCTGAGTGCGGGTATAAAGAAGCAAGAGAAGCAGTTCACCTTCTTGCTAAGCAGGGACATTTACCTCCTCCTGCCACGGAGTGGATCTTGGGTAAAACAATTATGCAGCTCTTTGATGGAAAATGGAGTTCTGCAGTAACATGTTGACTACAAAACATAACTGGGCATAACAGGTTGATGAGTTCCAAACGCGTCATTGAAACCTTAGTTGTACTTTAGCAGAGCAAAGAAGACTAGCTTTGTAAGCATTACTGCTATAACCTCTTTTCTTGGAGGCACAAACAATACATCTATGGTATATAATATAACCANAAGACTAGCTTTGTAAGCATTACTGCTATAACCTCTTTTCTTGGAGGCACAAACAATACATCTATGGTATATAGTATAACCAACTCATTAAATGCATAAGCAGTTTCAGCTTTCCCATGTTTGGTCCACAACATTTTCTCTAGGAAAACAAGTTCCTTAAAAATCAGAAAAAGCCTTTCATGCCGATTGGACTCCCCCCCCCCCC